TTTAATTATGTCTTAAACTTTTTTATTTTAGATTCAGGAGTACACATGCGTGTTCAATTATGTCTTTATATTTATCCCTGTTGATACATGTAAATGGAGTTCATTTTCAGACTAACCTATAATCTATTGTATTAAAAAACCACAGATTATTTAAAAATCCCACTTCTTTGCTGTTATAAAGAAGGCTGTAGTAAACATATGACACAATTATGTGTACATTGTTATGCACATGACTCTTTGTGATGAGTTGTAGGATTTAGACTCTACCAAGTTTTACAAAATTGTCTTCCAAAATAGACCAATCTGCACTTCAACTAGCAATGAATAAGATCTCCCTCTTTCCCTATACTTACCAATATTTGGTGTTATAATTTTTTCTTTTTTTTTTGAGTTGGAGTCTCACTCTGTCGCCCAGACTGGAGTGCAGTGGCCGCTCCCGGCCACCGCAGCCTCGACCTGCTGGACTCTGGTGATCCTCCCACCTCAGCCTTCCAAGTAGCCGGAACTACAGGCGCGCACTACCATGCCCGGTTCATTTTGATTTATTGTAGAGATGAGGTCTCGCTGCCCAGGCAGGTCTCAAACCCGCGGGCTCAGGCAATCCAATTTTTTTTTTTTTTTTATTTTTTTTTTTAGTTGGAATCTCACTCTGTTAACCAGACTGGAGTGCAGTGGCCACTCCCAGCCACTGCAGCCTCGACCTGCTGGGTTCCGGTGATCCTTCCGCCTCAGCCTTCCAAGTAGCTGGAACTACAGGCGCATGCTACTATGCCCGGCTGATTTTTTTTTTTTGAGTTGGAGTCTCGCTCTGTCACCCAGACTGGAGTGCAGTGGCCACTCCCGGCCACCGCAGCCTCGACCTGCTGAGCTCCGGCGATCCTTCCACCTCAGCCTTCCAGGTAGCTGGAACTACAGGCGCGTGCTACCACGCCCGGCTCATTTTGATTTGTTGTAGAGATGAGGTCTTGCCAAGTTGCCTAGGTGGGTCTCGAACCCACGGGCTCAGGCAGTTCACTTATCTCAGCATCCCAAAGCGCTGGGATTACAGGCTAAGCCACCGAGCCTGGCCTGTTATAACTTTTAATGGATGGCAAAATGATTGGTGTGAAACGTTATCTTTTTTTTTTTTGAGTCGGAGTCTCACTCTGTCGCCCAGACTGGAGTGCAGTGGCCGCTCCCGGCCACCGCAGCCTCGACCTGCTGTGCTCTGGCGATCCTTCTGCCTCAGCCTTCCAAGTAGCTGGAACTACAGGCACACTCTACCACGCCCGGCTCATTTTGATTTATTGTAGAGATGAGGTCTCGCCAAGTTGCCTAGGCGGGTCTTGAACCCGCGGGCTCAGGCAATCCACTCACCTCAGCCTCTCAAAGGCACGGGATTACAGGCTGAGCCACCGAGCCTGGCCCTGAAATGTTATCTTGCTGTGGTTTTAATCTACATTTCCTTGATTACTAGTTAGGTGGAACATTTTTATTGGCCATTCAGGCTTCCTTTTCTGAAAATTGCCTATTCATATTCTTTGCCCATTTTTCTCTTGTTCTATTTATCTTTTTCTCAGTGATTTTAGGGTTCTTTATATGTTTTTGATGCTAATCCTTTGTTGGTTAAATATATTGTAAGTCTTCTTTGATTTTATGGACAAACTTTTAAAGTTTGCTTATGGTGAATTTTCATTTATTTATTTGAGATAGGGGTCTCATTCTGTTGCCTAGGCTGGGATACAGTGGCACAATCATGGCTCACTGTAATCTTGAACTCATGGACTCAAGCCATCGTCCCACTTCAGCCTCCTGAGTAGCTGGGATTACAGGCACAAGCCACCATCCCCAACCATAGTGAATTTTTAGTACAGAGTTTTAGAAACTTTAATGTAGTCAAATTTATCAATATTTTCCATTATAGTTTGTATTCTTTGTTACTTGTTAAATCTTTTCCTACTGTGATATCATAAAACGTTCACCTTGTATACTTTCTTTATAAAATCTGTTTACAAGATTTATTTATTTATTTATTTTTTGAGTTGGAGTCTCACTCTGTCACCCAGACTGGAGTGCAGTGGCCGCTCCCGGCCACCGCAGCCTTGACCTGCTGGGCTCCGGAGATCCTTCCGCCTCAGCCTTCCGAGTAGCCGGAATTACAGGTGCGCGCTACCACGCCTGGCTGATTTTTTGATTTATTGTAGAGATGAGGTCTCACTGTCCAGGCGGGTCTGGAACCCGCGGGCTCAGGCAGTCCATTCACCTCAGCCTTCCAAAGGCGCGGGATTACAGGCTGAGCCACCGAGCCCAGCACAAGATTTATTTAGATCTTATTTAGGGTTTTAGTCTATCTAGATTTTCTTTTGGGGGGGTAATATGTATGGTGTGAGATAAGGACATAAATTTTACCATATCAATAACCAATTGTCCCAGCATCATCTATTAAGTAATATATATTTTGCCCACTTTGTCTTGTGAGCTTTATCAAATACTAAGTTTCCATATATTTCTGGTCCTGTTTCCAGACTTTCTATTCACTCACAGTAACCTATTTATCTATCCCTGTATCATATCATTTAAATTATGATTGCTTGATAATATATCTTGATATCTGATATGACCTGACCAGATCTTATTCAAGATGGTCTTAATCAATCTTGGCCCTTTATACTGCAATATTACTTTAAGATTTAACTTGGAAAAAGCACTGTTAGGATGTTGACTGGAATTTCACTGAATTTATATAATTTGGGAGAAATTATCATATTTACTTTTAGGTTGAAGCATACGAAATTGCCAATATTTCAGCCAGGCTCGGTGACTCAGCCTATAATCCCGCGCCTTTGGGAGGCTGAGGTGAGTGGATTGCCTGAGCCCGCGGGTTCGAGACCCACCTGGGCAGATGAGACCTCATCTCTACAATAAAATAAATTAGCCGGGCGTGGTAGCACGCACCTGTAATTCCGGCTACTTGGAAGGCTGAGGCGGAAGGATCGCTGGAGCCCAGCAGGTGGAGGCTGCGGTGGCCGGGAGCAGCCACTGCACTCCAGTCTGGGCGACAGAGTGAGACTCCAACTCAAAAAAAAAAAAAGAAAGAAATAAAGAAAGAAAGAACTTGCCAATATTTCAACTTCCAAAAATGGCAATATGGTCTTACCTAATAATAAATATTTCCAAGAATACCGACTGTCTTTGAGTTTTTTAGGTCTTCTTTTACGTCACTTAATAGTTTTATGATTTTCTCTTTAAATATCTTGTTTTTCCTTGGCTATATTTATTCTAAGATATGCTGTAATTTTTGTTGTCATGAAAAATGATATCAGATTCTTCGAAGGGTCACTTTTTTTTTTTTTTTTTTGAATTGGAGTCTCACTCTGTCGCCCAGACTGGAGTGCAGCGGCCGCTTCCGGCCACCGCAGCCTCGACATGCTAGGCTCTGGCGATCCTTCCGCCTCAGCCTTCTGAGTAGCCGGAATTACAGGCATGTGCTACCACGCCCGGCTAATTTTTTGATTTATTGTAGAGATGAGGTCTCGCCAAATTGCCCAGGCAGGTCTCGAACCCGCGGACTCAGGCAATCCACTCACCTCAGCCTCCCAAAGGCACGGGATTACAGGCTGAGCCACCGAGCCCGGCTCGAAGGATCACTCTTATCTGAATTTTCTCTATCCTTTTTGGGTATTAGTCATTAGAACTGACATGTAGATCTCGCTTATAAAACATGATGTTCTACTTTGTGTTCCTGAGATAATATGACTGTAGACCTGCTTACTTCTAGAGGGATAGGCTGTCATTTCTCTAGACCTGTTTGTGTATTTCCATGGCTCTGACTCTGAATACAGATGCTTCAACCACTGAAAACATAACAATGACCATGGAAACTCATTTTTAATTTCTCTTTAGTATAAGAAGCTGTATCCGATTGAACCAACAGGGCACAGAGCAGGACATGCGAATGTGGATGGCTTCAGGGCTAGGCACATAAGTGTGCTGAAAATGATGCAATGGAAGGGGGACATGTCTGGTCTGTGAAGCACAGAAGGCCGTCGCCCATCTATAAGGGGAAGACACTACTTAGTTGCAGCCAGTGGGGAATATGGGAATTTGAATCCTGTGTTGTCTTCTGAGTTTTAAAGAAAAGGTAGGCATCTGAACTTTTTATGTTAAAACTCACGATTTTTAAATGTCAACAACCAGATCAACTTATACAATTTACTGGGAGGGCCAATAAAGACATGTATGCAGGATAGATTAGACACAACTTTGACTTAGAGGCTATATATGTGAGTAAGATTTTATTAAGCAAAGACCTTCCTGATGTGTCTCCTGCCATCCTCCTCGCTCTGTGCCTATTATATCCCTAAACAGGTCCGTAACACAAAGTGCTCACTGATCTGTGGGCATTTCATGCTGAACCCCATGACACTGTGCAAATTGTCCCCTGGCGTTGGCTAACACTCCTTAATATTCAGCTCAAGGATCAGCTGCTTTGGGAAGCATCTTCTGATGCCTTTGGACCCCTTCTGTTTTGCTCCTATGTCACCCTTTGCATGCCCCTACTCTGGCACTTGAGCATTTTGTAGTAAAATCGCTGACTTCCTTATCTGCCCACTCCACTGTGGGCTGCTGGAGAACAATACCTCTGCCTTATTCAGTGACTGAGTCCTCAGTGTCCAGGGCTGTGCTGACAGACAGCTGACCTTCAGTAACTGAGGAAATGCCCAAATCAATCAAGACAATAGAAAAGGGCACACAGGGGTAAAGAGGGGGGTGAGCTTTGCAATCTTTGCTGAATACTATGAAACTAAGCTAAGCATTAATGCTAAATCTCTATGTGGTAATATTGACTGATGTCCTGCTGCATGTTCAGCTTTCCTTGGAATTTGTAAAATTGAGTATCGGTTAATTTTGTCATCCTTAAGTGCAAAAAGCCCCAGTTCCTGGAGTTTAGAAATGCAAACTCAAGGTGGTTTCATAGATGTGCTAAAATATTTGCTCTAAAGGGACAAGTAAAACTTTACATGGGCCTGCTTTTGCAGGAACCAGTAAAATGGTAGTGATGATGATGTATACAGTTCTTGGTACACAGTAAATAACCATATCTTTTGATTGGTAGCTTTTAAAGGAGTTGATTAGCTAAGGGGTGAGTCTGGACTGAGAACCAGAAGAACCAAAATATAGATTCAAGATGGCTAATGGTGAACCAGGAAAACCAGAAGCAGGATGTCCAACCGTCTCCCACAGAGGAGATTTTATATATCCACTGGGACTTTGGAGGTTTGGAAAACTTATGCCTGGGGAAGAGAAACCCAAGCTTAGTAAACCAGCAAAGGCTGACAAAATTGGGAAATGAAGAATGATGGACCTGTTAAATGACACTAAAAGATGAATGACTCCAGTGCTTCCATGTGGCTTCTTTCTTCTTTATTGAGAATTTCATCCTAAGATCAAGCCTTAGGGCAAAGCCTTTGTGAATGTAAAAAAAAAAAAAAAAAGGTTGGTAAACTGGGATAATTTAGAACACAGTGAAAAGCAGCCTTGTAATAGTATGTGTTAAACTGGAATAGAATTACGAGGATGTTGCAAAATATACTTGATGGGCAGTGGGAACCCTGATGAGGCTATTTGTCTTTTAGTCATGGAAAAGACAGAAAAAGAGGAATGCTTAGAAAAGAATAAGATAAGGGACAGAGATGAAAAAAGCTGTATAATATTCCTCTCTCACCGGGCTCGGTGGCTCAGCCTGTAAATCCAGCACTTTGGGAGGCCGAGGCGAGTGGATTGCCTGAGCCCATGGGTTTGAGACCCGCCTGTGCAATTTGGCGAGCCCTCGTCTCTACAATCAATAAATAAATAGCCGGGAATGGTAGCACACACCTGTAGTTCTGGCTACTTGGAAGGCTGAGGCGAAAGGATCGCCAGAGCCCAGTAGCTCGAGGCTGCAGTGGCCGGGAGCATGCCACTGCACTCCAGTCTGGGCGACAGAGTGAGACTCCAACTCAAAAAAAAAAAAAAAAAAAAATATTCCTCTCTCTCTCTCTAACCTCCAAATAAGGGAAACGCCATAAACAAAGATCCTTTCATTTGGGATCATGTCTATTGCTTTGCTAGTTGAACTCACAGAATAGAGTTAGGACTTTCAAGAAATTGTAAACTGGTTGATTTGAAGAGCTTGTGGTTGAAGTGAACTCCTTGAAACTGTGCCCCAAACACACACATTTCTAAACATTCAAAAACAAAAACATTTTTGTGCCCTTTCACTGTGAACTTTGCTCTTGTTCTAATGAAGTCTTATCTCTTTTTCAGCACCTCGTATGTAACTGTCACAGAATTGGCTCTCAGTGTATTCACTGAAAATACAGTGAATAGTGAATGAGTGGATCCCATTTATGTAATTAAAAAGCCCCATATTTGGATATAGCACATGTATAGGTAAAAAATGGAATAATCATTGACAAACACATATCAGCATGTTGATTCTCCATGAGGGAAATTGTATAGCCTACTGTATTTTTGTATTTTGTGAATCTTTTACAATGAAAATGTATTCGTGTGTTATTTGATTAATTAAAATAAATGAAATAGCAGTTTAAACATGAATGTCAGCATCTTTACCATCAATCAGTCAAGAACCATTGAATAAAAATTTAAAAGCTATATAGCTCCAGCTACTTAAACATTTGCATAACTTTATAATATTGACTATGTATTGAATAAGCAATTTTTTTTTTTTTTTTTGAGTTGGAGTCTCACTCTGTCACCCAGACTGGAGTGCAGTGGCCGCTCCTGGGTTCCGGCGATCCTTCCACCTAAGCCTTCCAAGTAGCTGGAATTACAGGCATGCGCTACCACGCCCGGCTGATTTTTGATTTACCGTAGAGATGAGGTCTTGCTGCCCAGGCGGGTCTCGAACCCGCAGGCTCAGGCAATCCACTCACCTCAGCCTCCCAAAGGCGCGGAATTACAGGCTGAGCCACCGAGCCTGGCTAGCAAATGTTTTTTGAAGCGAGAAAAGTAGATTTGCACTTGACAACAAATTACAATGATAGATTAAAGTAATAAAAGAACAAACCAAAACCCATTCCATCAGGAGACCGGCCCCTGTGAGGTGTGTGTGTGGGGGATGGTATACAGTATGTTTTCTGCATTTCATTTTGTTTTTTAGTGATGGCCAGTTTAATTATTACCATGTTAACCGAGATGGCTACTTAAACAATAGCAGTCTTGACTGTTTAAGGCTTCCTGGAAGTGGGAGATTATGTAAAAACCAGGTTTATCATTTGAATGGGAGGGAGCACTTTCTTGATTTGACTTTTTCAGCAGCGATTTACAGTCATGCAAATAATGGACTGAGTTCACTGAATAGGTTATCTGAGAGTATATTTGTCTGCATAGTTTCCTTAATTAAACTGGGTTGCTGATGACCTCAGTTGCATTGCTATGTATGTCACTTTAGGTCCTGATTAAACTTTCCAGTTTGTGCTTGTGGGGTGGAGGGATTTCCATGCAAATTCTGGACATGGGAAATAGAAAAAAGTCATCTAATTATTTTGCTAAGAGATGGAGAAGGAAGCATATCTAAGGCAGTCTATGAGTTTTCCTTCTTGAGTTGTCCAGTCTTCAGTGGAATGAGGAATCTGCAGAGAGACCCCTCCAATTAGTGTCTTGGGACAGGGTACGGTCCCCGAGTAGACCCCAGGATGGCTGTGGGACTGTGTGTCCTCCTTTAGATCCCCCAGTTGTTAACATTTCTCTTCTTTTTGTTCTTCTTCATTCTCATTTCTTTCTCAGTCTCTGGCCCCTCAAGCATCAACTGCTCTCTAGACAAATAAGCCGTCGAGCTTGGACATGCTCTACATACAGCTTCGTGTATTGCAAGAGGCCCCAGAAAGAACCAAGAGAGGGTAATTCATAGCCAGAAAGGAGAAGCTTTTGTGGCTGTGGGACTTCCGATTGGGTTGTGAAATAGTCTGTAACTAGATCATGGTGATGGTTGTGCAACATTGTGAATGTACTTAGTGCCACTGAATTTTACACATGAAAATGGTTACAGTGATAACATTTATGTTATGTGCATTTTGCCACAATTAAAAAAAAAGACTTTTTCTAAAGTGATGCCCACATTTACAAGTTGTCTCCTACTTCTTACTTTCTAAATTTTTCACTTAAAAATTTAAAGGAAGTTGGGCTCAGTGGCTCAGCCTGTAATCCCGCGCCTTTGGGAGGCTGAGGTGAGTGGATTGCCTGAGCCCGCGGGTTCGAGACCCGCCTGGGCAGCGAGACCTCATCTCTACATAAATTAAAAAGTCAGCCAGGCGTGGTAGTGCATACCTGTAATTTCGGCTACTTGGAAGGCTGAGGTGGAAGGATCGCCGGAGTCCAGCAGGTCGAGGCTGCGGTGGCCGGGAGCGGCCACTGTACTCCAATCTGGGCGACCGAGTGAGACTCCAACTCAAAAAAAAAAAAAAAAATGCATCCTAAAAATGTTCTTTGGGCAAAGCATCGGGATCGATCAGGATGCTGTGTATGCATATGTATGTGCAGGACCGAAATCAGCTGGAACTCACGCATAAAGAGGTACACTGGGGGCTAAGACGGATTCTCCATTAATAGCTTCTGCTGATTTCCAGTTCAAAGTGAAACTTAACTCATGAATTACTTTACTTTTCTGAATGTAAATCATAGAACTCTACACTTCTCAGTCTCATCGGACTAACCAAACATTAACAGGTAATTGCAGAAAGTAACAGTTTCCATTTTTCACCATGTTAGGGCTGTGATTAAAGTCGGCATTCCTCTGTTGGCTGAGGTCAGAGTTGGAGCTCAGAACTTTGGCGATGCCAACAGGTTGTTTTTTTGTGCTGTTATCACACTTCACGCCTTACTTAATTCCACTCCTTTCTCCTCATCTTTTTTTTTTTTTTTTTTTTTTTGAGTTAGAGTCTCACTCTGTCACCCAGACTGGAGTGCAGTGGCCGCTCTCAGCCACTGCAGCCTCGACCTGCTGGGCTCCGGCGATCCTTCCGCCTCAGCCTTCCAAGTAGCTGGAACTACAGGCGCGCGCTACCACGCCTGGCTGATTTTTTTTTTATTTATTGTAGAGATGAGGTCTCGCCAAGTTGCCCAGGCGGGTCTTGAACCCGCAGGCTCAGGCAATCCACTCACCTCAGCTTCCCAAAGGTGCGGGATTGCAGGCTGAGCCACCGAGCCCGGCTTCTCCTCATCTTCTAAAGGGAAGTTTATCCTTGAAAAAGAACTGAGCCTTGATTTTGCAAGGTATTCGGAAGTGTCCTTCATAATTACATTGTTGCCAGAGGTACAAAGAAACCTTGGGGCCAGTGTTTGGAGATCCTGGCAGGAAAGAGCTACTTGTGTGTCTGGTAGCGAAGCTGGGTTTTTCTGGGTCTGAATGCATAGTGAAGAGAAAGGACTAGTGAGAACGCCGCTTAGCTAGTCACATCAGCCGATGGGCGCTGGCCTCAGCAAGGTGTTAAGTATCACCTTCACAGGCCATATTTCTTTTCTGCAATTATAGTTCTTCATTCATGGTGAACCATAAGAGTAGATTTTCTGACAAAGAAAAGGCAATTGCTACTTGAGTTTTACAAAAGATAATTGACATTTCTGAATTTTGTTATTGCTGAACTAAGAACTCAAGCAAAACTGCTGATTCTCACAGCCTGAGGGAAAGGATGGTCCATTGATCATCCCCAGGGAGTAGCATCCTTATCCATCTCTCTCTCCTTTTCCTGAAGGTCTTTCCTGGACCTATTCGAAACACTTTACAATTCAAATAATTTTAGGTCCTTCTGGGACCTAGGATGACAGGTCATCTTCACTGGAATACGATGTCCACAGATGCAGGTATTTGGGGTCTCTGACATAGTGGTGATAGGAATGATGTCCCTTCCAGAGCCTTAGAGAAATAGTGCAATGGACCAAGAGGTTTCCATTTACGAGGAAATAAATAAATAAACAAACAAACAAATAAAAGTTTCCATTCCATTCACTGGGATGGAGTGACTCTCTTCTGCCCCAGCCTTAGTCTAAGACAGAATTTATTCTTTCCGAATTCTT